TATATAGTATTTTTTTGTTCTATAGTATTTAAAAAAAGTGGCCAAAACCACTGTTTGGTTTTTGAAAAATTCATTTTCAAAAAATATTCAAAAACTTTCAAAATTTCATGGACAAACACATCTCAAAAAATAAAATAGAAAAAAGGAAATTTTTTTATGGACAAACGGATATTTAATCTAAATTATTCTCTTTGATTCGTGAATAACTATATAAAAATAGATTCATAATTGCAAATAGTAAAAGAATATGCATCCAAAAGGTTTTAATTGGGACAGATTTGATTAAACACAAATATCCATAAACGCCAAGATTTTGCCTTAGCTTCTTCTTTCTATAAATAAACACATAGACAGCACCAACTGTTAGAGGTGGACGCATTTATTATCAATTTATCATGTTGTTGGCAAAAGATTTGTATATTTTGGAATGATAGAAAATACTATATGCAATTTTTATATTACGGGATCACTCCTTCAACCGACTAANCATTATCTTCCACTGCTTGATGACTGGAACAGATATCGGATGCCTGATCATTAAGGTCTAACTGCGATCCACTTTGACCTTTCAAAAAAAAAAAAAAAACGATAAGTCATGATAAATAATTAACTATGCATTTTGAAACAAATTCCACTAATATTAGAAATTTAATCTCTTATGAGATACCAAATACATGAAATATTCTATTTGCAAGACAGTGAGAATAAAGTAGTCCCTCCGATTACTTTTAGTTGTCAATTATTCTAAAAATAAATTTTTATTTTTACTTGTCACTTTTTTCATACCAAGAGAAAAATAATTTATTTTTTCTATTGTGCCCTTAACATTAATTACTCATTCCAAATCATTTTTCAAATCATGTAAGACTATACACCAATTAATATGAGTATCATGGTAAATTATATACTTTATTTATTATTTTTTAAGGGATATACAAAATTAATAATGGACAAGCAAAAGTGAACGGAGAGAAATTACTTCTTTAATATCTAAATCCTGGTCTGATTAATATTTTGATATGTTGAAACTGGAAACATGTCCATTTTTAAAGTCCAAAAATCCTTGATTCTTTCATTTAGGACAGGAAACTTTAACTTAGATTCTTTACTGAAGTTCTAAGTTTCTGTTGCTTTTCTCATTTTCCAGGAATTTAAAAGCTATCATTTGCTTTTGGGAGGACTTAATAAGAATTTGAGAAAGTAACTTAGAGTCCGTTTGGACATAAGAATTTTATCATTTTTTTTTGAAAAATTTTCACTTTTTTCTGAAATCAGTATTTGCCCATAAAATTTGTAATTTTCACTTGAAGTTTGATTTTTATTTTGAAAATTTGAAAAACTCCAAAAAGCTATTTTTCAAAATTTTCACTCATAAAACTTCAAAAACAACACAAAATTATATTCATGTCCAAACACAACTCTAATTTTCAAATACCATTTTTACTTGAAATATTTTTTTCATTTTTTTTAGAATTTTATAATTCTTATGTCCAAACGCCCACTTAGTTGTGCATTATATGGAGAAGGGAATTTGCATGTCACGAAATCACGATCATAACTCATGGAACATATTATCAGGGCATTTGCACAAATGTCTTTTTCAGAGGCCATTATCTAAATTCTATCCCTTCTCAGCTCAGCGAGATATTTGACGGCAAAAAGAAAAAGAAATTTTAACCCATTTGACCGGCTGGCCGAAAATAATTATAACCGTTAGTCAAATACATAAAAAAAAAAAAAATAAGGCAAAGGGCCAAATATACTCTTTTACTTTCGAATATTGTCTACATTTAACCTCTGTTATACTATCCAGCTAAATTTACCCTGCCGTTATACTAACCGTTCAAATTTACCCCTACCATCAGTAAACTTTTAAAATTACCCCTCAATCCGTCAAGTGACCCAGAATCTCCCAAATCATTTTAATTAAGTCACTTATTCTTCTTCTTGATCAACTATTTTTAAAATTATTGGCATTTACCTACTTTCTTAAATGGAAAAAAAATAAGAGAAAGAAATATTAAAATAATACAACGGTCAGTAAACAAACTATAGTAAATTGAAGAATCTAAATTAGGTAGCTTGTCTAAATTTTAAAAGTATTTACCCCAACTTTAATGAATTTGTTGCATCAAACGTATGGAGACTTTGCGAGTATTAGTGATATAAATTGAAGTTCCTTGGAGACTTTACATTGTCGAATTCAACTTTGCTTTAATCAAATGCCTACGCATTATTGATATTTGGCTATAATTTCATATTTTTAGTGTATTACTTACCTTATATTTAAGTATTTTAGTGCTAAATTATACTATATTTATACTTAATTGAGTTTATTTTATGTGTAGGTACTTTAGAGATAAAAGCTGAAGCAAATATGCTAAACATTGAACTACTGAAGTCAAGAAGACAAATACATGTAAAGAAAAATAAAGGAAGAAGCAATTTATGAAGATGAACCTTCCAAATTATGAGAAAGCAATAAGATTATTACTAATGTAAGGATGAAAGATGACAAAGTAGCATGAAATGCTTGGAAAGAAAGATATAGGCAATTGGCACTATCAAGAATGAATATTGATTAAATCAAAGAACAAGGCAAGGAATATACAAGTGACGTGTGGAAACAAAGTGAGGCGTCAGATTTCAGCGGCCATATGTCAGGCGACGCAACATTTGCATCCTCACGTTTGAGCTTGCGAGGTGAGGTACTTAGCTCGCGACAGAGCTGACATCGCACAGTGTATAGCGAGGCGAAGCTCGCGTTTTGCCTCGCGTCGCAAGGCCTGTACCGAGGGTGTTCCGAATTTTTAAAATCTATTTTGTCTCCTATTTAGTTTTGGACTTGGTTATTTCGTTTGGGTCTTTTCCCTATACATATAAATAGTCATTAAATACCATTTTTAGAGGGTTGTGGTTGACATAATTATTAACGTTTATTAATTACATCTTCGTTAATTCGGATTATCATCTTGTGGTTGTTTCTTTAATTCTAGTTTTAATTTGTGAATTGTTGTAGCTACCAATTCACCCTACTATCTATGCTATGCTTGGAAAAGCCGTGTTTAGATTAGAGTAGAATTAGAGAAAGCTTGATTCTGAACTCGTGGCTCGGGAAAAGATTTCGCGGTTAAGATAGGAATATACCTAACGGTCTTGCTTAATTAAATACCATATTATATTCGTTCATGATAGACTCAATATCATAGGAATATATGATTGATATATTGTGAGCAGACGAGTAGTATTGTGGGAACATGCGATTCATATAAATGATCCGGTTAATTAGCAACCATAGATGATCTGGATTAACGAGTGTAATTATTGAACTTAATAGGATTGATAAACCCACCACAACCCTGGAATTTTCATCTCCTCTAAAGTAAAATCACATCATACGCATTTGCATTCTTGATAAATTAGTTGTTACTTGTTTAATTTCCGCAATAGTAGATTAATAGAAAAATATCACTCTTAAATAACTTGGACAATTAATTAATTTTAGTTTGCTTAGTTAACGATCAATCTAAGTCTCCGTGGGTTCGGCATCCGACTTTCGAGTCACTTTATTACTTGACGGCCACGTATACTTGCGTGTACTTGGGATACCAACAAGTTTTTGGCGCCGTTGACGGGGACTTAGTTATTGATTGTTTAGTTATGTTAAGCTTTAATTCGTTATTTGTTCAAGTTTTAATTTTTAGTTTGCTTTATTTGTGTTAACCCAGGCTCTTATCTTGAGTGCGGAGGAGTAGAAGCGCAAACAATCTCCTTCATCTTGACCCTGAAATCGAACGAACACTTCATAGAGTGAGGAGGGAAGTTGAAGCTAGAACTAGAATTAAAAGAGAGTTGGACATCGTAATTCAACCACAACCAATAGAGATGGCAGGTAATGAAGAGCATCCGGTGATAAAAGTTGCAAGGCCCAATCTGGCTCTTATGACTCAGGCGATTGTGAAGCCTGATATCATAGGTCACTTTGAACTTAAACAATACATGGTACAGCTGATTCAATCCACAGGGCAATATGTTGGCTTATCTCATGAAGACCCGCAGAGGCACATTTAGAACTTCCTGAAAATTACAGACACTTACAATTATCCGAACGTTTTCAAGGACTATGTCAGGCTGACACTGTTTCCCTTTTCACTGATGGGGGAAGCTAAGGAATGGTTAAAAAAGGAGCCCGCGAACTCAATCCACAATTGGGATGATCTAGCAAGGAAATTCTTAATCAAGTTTTTTCCCACAAAGAAGACAAAGTCATTGAGGAGCCAGATTCTTGGGTTTCAACAACGAGATGGCGAGACTCTTCGACAAGCTTGGGAAAGATACAAGAAGCTACTCAGAGACTGCTCACACCATTGTCAGACTAATGAGGTATTGGGTCACACTTTTATTGACGGGTTGGGCGAGGCATCAAAGATGAATCTTGACTCAGCATGTGGGGGTAGTTGCATGGCAAGACCGTATAGTGAGATCCAGATCCTGCTAAATAATTTCACTGCTAATGATAATAATTGGCAAGGAGATGGGGAACCATGAAGAGCACTTAAACAAAAGGCAGCAGGTGTGATCGAGCTTGATGATTTCTCAGCAATGACGGCATATATAGCGAGATTAGCGAATCAGATGAATAAAATGACAATGCACCACGCACAACAAATGTCTACTTGCTGCGAGTTATGTGGTGAAGTCACACAAGTGACATATGTCTCGTGAATCCTGAATAAATCTACTACGTGGGGCAACAAGCTAGAGGGACGATGAATCAAAATGCTCAATATGATAATACATACAACCCGAACTGGAGGAATCATCCTAACTTCTCTTGGGGTGGAAATCAGAATATCAAACCTCAAGTGAATTACAATCATCCACCTCAACCTCCACAACAAGTAGAAGAGAGTCTGACTGACATGATGAAAAAGCTCTTGATAGAGAATCAGAAAGTTATGGCCAAGAATCAACAAGTCAGGGCAGAGAATCAACAAGTTAGGGCAGAGAGTCAACAAGTCAGGGCTGAGAATCAACAATTGCGCACAGAGTTCAGAAATCTAGAGAGGCAGTTTGGGCAGATGGCTAACAATCAGAATACTAGACCTGTTGGAGCTCTCCCAAGTGATACAGAGAAAAATCCTCAAGTCAATGCAGTGACATTGAGAAATGGGAGAGAGTTGGTAGAAGTGCCTAAGAAGAAAAAGGAACAATCTGGGCTCGAAGAAGAAAGAGTGCCAAAACCTGTTGAGGTAGATGAGAGAAACAAAACAGAGCCTGAGCAAAAATCAGAGAGGGTGCCACCCCCTTTTCCTCAAAGATTGAGAAAGAAGAATGATGACCACATGTTTCACAAATTCCTAGATATGCTGAAGCAGATACATTTGAACATCCCTTTGGTGGACATGCTCCGTGAGGTCCCAAAGTATGCAAAATATATTAAGGACATAGTGGCAAATAAAAAGAGGTTAACTGAGTTTGAGACTGTAGCATTTAACTGAGGAGTGTACTTTCAGGATTCAACATATGCTTCCACAAAAGCTTAAGGATCCGAGTAGTTTTACCATCCCCCTGAGGATTGGTGAATTTGATATGGGTAGAACCTTGTGTGATTTGGGTGCAAGTATCAATCTGATGTCATTGTTAGTGTTCAAACAATTGGGCTTAGGAGCTCCGAGACCCACCACGGTGATGATACAATTAGCTGATAGATCTTATGTTTATCCTGAAGGGGTAATTGAGGACGTCCTGCTGCAGATTGGCAAGTTTATTTTTCCTGCATATTTTATCATCCTGGATTACGTGGCTGATGAGTTAGTTCCTATCATCTTAGGACAACCTCTTTTGTCCACTAGAGATGCAATTATCAAAGTCTGAAAAGGTAAGATGATCCTGAGGGTGGACAATGAAGAAGCAGTCTTCAATGTATATCGAACCATTTAGTTGCCTCGTCATTACGAGGACCTGGCCATAATTTCGGTGGTGGAGATAAATGAACTAGCCATAGAGCCAAGGGCGTTTAAAGAAGATGCACTAGAAAAGGCATTGACATTGTTCAATCACTTGGAACTTGAATAAGTGGTTGAGGAGATGTTGCACATTCTGGATGCATCATGCGAATACATAAGAGAAAGAACCCAATTTGAGCCTCTGGATAGGTCAATCGACCCGCCTCCTAAACCCTCAGTTGAGGAGGCTCCAAAATTGAAACTTAAACCCTTACCATCTTATCTTCATTATGCATATTTAGGAAATTTTAACACTTTACCTGTGATTGTTTCTTCTCATTTGTCTGAATTGCAGGAAGAAAAGCTCTTAAGAGTGCTGAGGGAGCACAAGCATGCCATTGGTTGGACGATGTTTGACATAAAAGGTATTAGCCCTGCATTCTACATGCACAAAATACTTATGGAGGAGGGACACAAGCCTAGCGTAGAGCATCAACACTGCCTTAATCCAATCATGAAAGAGGTGGTAAGAAAAGAAGTAATTAAGTGGCTCGACACAGGTATAGTATTTCCTATCTCCGATAGCAAGTGAGTAAACCTTGTTTAATATGTACCTAAAAAGGGGGTATGACTGTTGTAGTAAATGAACAAAATGAATTAATCCCAACTAGAAATGTGACTGGTTGGCAAATTTGCATAGACTATAGGAAGTTGAGTAATACTACATGAAAAGATCACTTCCCCCTCCCCTTCATTGATCAAATGCTTGACATGTTAGCCAGACAGGAATACTATTGTTTCCTTGACGGCTATTCGGGGTATAATCAGATTGTTATTGCCCCGGAAGATCAAGAAAAGACCACTTTTACATGCCCTTATGGCACTTATGCATTTAAGAGAATGCCATTCGGGTTGTGTAATGCACCTGTGACTTTTCAAAGGTATATGATGGCTATTTTCACCGATATGGTGGAACGGTTTGTGGAGGTTTTTATGGATGATTTTTCTGTGTTTGATCCATCTTTTGATGAATGCTTAACAAATCTTGCTAAAGTGCTTGCCAGGTGCGAGGAGACTAATCTGGTACTGAATTGGGAAAAGTTCCATTTTATGGTACGTGAAGGTATAGTGCTGGGACACAAGGTGTCCAAAGATGGACTGGAAGTTGACAAGGTTAAGGTAGAAGCAATTGAAAAGTTGCCACCACCAATTTCAGTGAAAGGATTTAGGAGTTTTCTAGGACATGCAGGTTTTTATCACCGATTTATAAAGGATTTCTCAAAAATTTCCTCTCCTTTATGCAGGTTGTTAGAGAATGATGTGTCGTTCAAGTTTGACGATGCTTGTCTGAAAGCATTCAAGGAGCTGAAAAAGAAGTTAGTGAGTGCACCAATCATAGTAGCTCCTGACTGGAACAAGCCATTTGAGATGATGTGTGACGTTAGTGATGGTGCAATTGGGGCCGTATTGGGCCAGAGGAAGAGCAAAATATTTCACTCCATTTACTATGCAAGCAAGACTCTCACTCCTGCTCAAATAAATTATACTGTGACAGAAAAAGAGTTTCTTGCTGTAGTGTGGGCGTTCGATAATTTTTGAGTCTATTTGGTTGGCACCAAAGTCATCGTCTACACAGACCATGCAACCATCAGGTATTTGTTTGAAAAGAAAGATGCTAAACCAAGGCTAATCTGTTGGGTTTTACTCTTGCAGGAATTTGACTTAAAGATTCGAGACCGTAAAGGAACAGAGAATCAAGTGCCTGATCACTTATCCAGGTTAGAAACTCAAAATCATGTAGCTGAGGGAGATGTCATCAAGGAAACATTCCAGGATGAGCAATTGTTGGTCATTACTGCTGGGGAGGTACCATGGTATGTAGATTTTGTGAACTATTTGGCAAGTGGAGAGATGCCGCCTGATCTTGAACCTTATGCTAAAAAGAAGTTCTTGCGAGATGTGAGGTCATATGTGTGGGATGAGCCATTCCTGTTCAAATCGTGTATTGATCAGCTAATAAGATGTGTGCCTGAATCTGAAATAAATGATATCTTACATGAATGCCATGCATCGCCTTATGATGGTCATCATGCGGGTGACAAAACAGCAGCTAAGGTATTACAATCAGGTTTCTATTGGCCTAGGGTGTTTAAAGACGCCCATGAGTTCGTGAGGAGATGTGATAGGTGCCAGAGAACAGGAATAATTACGACAAGGCATGAGATACCATTGTACGGTATTATGTAGGTTGAAATTTTTGATGTTTGAGGAATTAATTTTATGGGTCCGTTTCCCTCGTCCAATGGGTGTAAGTACATTTTGGTGGCCGTTGACTATGTGTCGAAGTGGGTGAAGGCCATAGATCTTCCTACCAATGATGCCAAGGTTGTTGTTAAGTTTGTGAAAAAGCATATCTTTACAAGATTCGGCACTCCGAGAATGATGATAAGTGATGAGGGCACCCATTTATGTAACAAGCTCTTGGACAATGTCTTAGCGTAATATGGGGTCAAACATAAAGTTGCAACCGCTTACCACCCTCACACTAGTGGGCAAGTGGAAGTTTCAAATAGAGAGATAAAGCAGATCCTGGAGAAGACGGCTGGTGCAAGTAGGAAAGATTGGGCTACAAAGCTTGATGATGCTCTATAGGCATACCGGACCGCCTATAAAACTCCAATCGGAACCTCCCCTTACAAGCTGGTTTATGGGAAAGCATGCCATTTACCGGTGGAACTTGAGCACAAGGCTTATTGGGCAATAATGAAGCTGCACTTTGATGCAGACTTAGCGGGTAGAAAGCGGTTGATGCACTTGAACGAGCTTGATGAGTTTCGCTTGCATGCGTATGAGAATGCCAAGTTATATAAAGAAAAGACTAAGCGTTGGCATGATAAGCATATTCAGCATCGCGAGTTCGAACCGGGTCAGTTGGTTCTTTTGTTCAATTCGAGGTTGAGACTCTTTCCGGGGAAGCTCAAATCGAGATGGTCGGGCCCGTTTGAGGTAGTAAGAGTCACTCCACATGGTGCAATTGAGTTTCGCGTCTTAGGTGGCGAGAGAACATTCTTAGTGAACGGACAAAGAGTAAAGCACTATTATGGAGGTGACTTTGATTGTCAGAAGTCGAAGGTGTTACTTGCCAATGATTAGAAGAGATTCTGTGTCGTGCCGCGACGTTAAATCAGGCGCTAGTTAGGAGGCACTCCATCTTTATTGCTTTCTTTTATTTTTATTTTTATCTTATTATTGTTTTAGTTTTTGTTTTTGTGAGCTAATTGGAAGAGTGCAAAAGCGAGTTAGATGGTGAGAATGAAGTGTGGGGTGCCCACACCAAGGACCATGCCTGGGGGAAGTTTGAGTACCTCGTGAGCCATGATTGCTTCAGCCTTTGGCCTTTCAGGGAGTTTCTTGTCCACCCTTGTTATTGTTTTGCTTCATTTATGTATTGGGGACACTGCACTCTTTTAAGTGTGGGGTGGGAGAATTATCTAAAAATAAAAATTAGTAGTAGGATGTAGAAATATGTTAGCTTCTTATTTTTGATTTCGTAGTTGTGGAAAATCGAAAAAAAAAACAAAAGTGGATAAATTGGACTTTTCCCGACGATTGATCTCCTAGACAGTTTTCTTGAGGGATTTAAGTCTAAAGAAAAAGGACAAAAAGATTTTTTTTATAGGTAGTGTAGCAATTCCCCCTTGGTTTTTCTTTGATCCGCGGTTCTTTTTCAAGGGTTTTATTCGAACCGGGTGTAGTTGATTTTATTTTTTAGGAGTAGGATCCATTGTGAGATGAATTGAATTGAAGCAATATCTTTTGACTTTGTTATGCCTTTAGAATAGTGAGTACTTTGGTTGTGACGCTTAGACTTAGTTTTTGACTCTTGTATAAGTACCTTAAATTATATGATCTTAACTTTGCTTAACTGCTTTGACTAGAGTGTCTTGATGAGTCCAATCGTGAGTGAGTTATGTGCCATGTGTGTGTGAGATTTGTGTGTAATTCTGTGCATTGCATTGGATGTCTAGAATTTGCCCTGTGTGTTTGCAAAGCGAAATAGTAGTTTTGTTTAGTATTAGAAGTGATATAGGCGTTTTTTTGTTGAGCCAGTTATATACTTTTCTTTTACCCACCTAATTGTTATGTATCGTAGTTAATCCCGTTGAGCCTGTAATCCTGTTTTCTTGGCAACCACATTACAAGACTTACCAATTTATTTGAACTAACCATCTATTTGATCCTTTTCACCTCTTATGAGCACTTGAATTGTAATGAATTTTGTAAAAGTTAAAGTAAAGGTTGGTTTAGCTTTTGAGTGGAACTAATGAAATAAGGAGAAATATGCACTGTTTTGAAAAAAAAGTAAAAGCCACTTGAATTGAAAAAGAAAGAGAGGAAAAAAATAGTTGAATTGCTGTGAAAAATATTTATTGATAGTGGTGACTCTTGATAATTATGCTTAAAGAAATATGGAGTTAATATACATTGATGTGAAGGTGGTGTTATGGTTTGACATAAGTATGGGGTTTGAATGTTAAAGTATATGTATTAAAGTGCTTAGAGAGGTGTAGTTACTCTTATATCCAAATGTATCCTACTCGACTCGCAGCCTACATTACAACCAATTAAAGTCCTACTTGATCCTAGACTGAATGAGCTCGATTAGTAGAGTAGTAAACTACGGGCAAGCCTATGGTGCATCTTTTGTGGCATATGAATGTTATTTCTGAGAGTGAGTGAATTTTTTCTATCTTGAGTTCCTAATTGTTCTTAAATTTTATTGTGTGTGGAACTACTCTCTTTTGTTGTGTGAGGGCACTTGATTCATGAAGGAAAGGTAATGTCATTGACTTCTATGTTAGAGTAAGTGAGTGAGTTGTGAATAATGCATGGTACCGGTGAGTCAAATCTTGAGGTGAAGATGTTACACCCTTGTGCTTAGTCTATTTTAAAGATTCTTGGTGTGATGATTTAGGAGAATTGTTTAAAAAGGTCGTGTCTATATAAAGTGTAGTTTGATTGCTTGAGGACAAGCAACGTTTAAGTGTGAGGTAGTGATGTTTGGCTATAATTCCATATTTTTAGTGTATTACTTACCTTACATTTAGGTGCTTTAGTGCTAAATTATACTATATTTATGCTTAATTGAGTTTATTTTATGTGTAGGTACTTTGGAGATAAAAGCTGAAGCAAATATGCTAAACATTGAAGTACAGAACGCATATAGACAAATACCTGTAAAGAAAAATAAAGGAAGAGGCAATTTATGAAGATGAAACCTTCCAAGTTATGAGAAAGCAATAAGATTATTACTAATGTAAGGATAAAAAATGACAAAGTAGCATGAAATGCTTGGAAAGAAAGATTTAGGCAATCTATCAAGAATGAATATTGATTAAATCAAAGAACAAGGCAAGGACTATACAAGTGACGTGAACATCATTGGAAACAAAGTGAGGCGTCAGATTTCAGCGGCCATATGTCAGGCGACGTTACATTTGCATCCTCGCGTTTGAGCTTGCGAGGCGAGGTACTAAGCTCGCGACAGAGCTGGCGTCGCACAGTGTATAGCTCGCATTTTGCCTCGCGTCGTAAGGCCTGTAGCGAGGGTGTTCCGGGTTTTTAAAGCCTATTTTGTCTCCTATTTAGTTTTGGACTTAGTTATTTCGTTTGAGTCTTTTCCCTACACATATAAATAGTTATTAAACACCATTTTAGAGGGTTTTTTTTGCGACCGAAGGCAAGAACATCACGTGGAGCCACTCTTGGAGGGGAAAATCATAGAGTTCTTCATCACTTTATCTTTTCTTTGTAATTTGTTTATGCAAAACATTTGGAAAATTGTTACTACGAACATGAGTGGCTAAGCACTCTAAGTTCTAGGGTTGTGGTTGATATAATTATTAACGTTTATTAATTACATCTTCGTTAATTCGGATTATCCTCTTGTGATTGTTTTTTTAATTCTAGTTTTAATTTGTGAATTGTTGTAGCTACCAATTCACCCTACTATCTATGTTATGCTTGGGAAAGCCGTGTTTAGATTAGAGTAGAATTAGAGAAAGCTTGTTTCTGAACCCGTGGCTCGGGGAAAGATTTCGCGGTTAAGATAGGAATATACCTAACAGTCTTGCTTAATTAAATACCGTATTATATTCGTTCATGATAGACTCAATACCATAGGAATATATGATTGATATATTGTGGACAAGCGAGTAGTATTATGGGAACATGCTATTCATATAAACGATCCGGTTAATTAGCAACCATAGATAATCTGGATTAACGAGTGTAATTATTGAACTTAATAGGATTGATAAACCAACCACAACCCTGAAATTTTCATCTCCTCTGAAGTAAAATCTCATCATACGCATTTGCATTCTTGATAAATTAGTTGTTACTTGTTTAATTTTCGCAATAGTAGATTAATAGAAAAACGTCACTCTTAAATAATTTGGACAATTAATTGATTTTAGTTTGCTTAGTTAACGATCAATCTAAGTCTCTGTGGGTTTGATATCCGACTTTCGAGTCACTTTATTACTTGATGGCCACGTATACTTGCGTGTACTTAGGGAACCAACAATTGTGTATTCTTAAGTTAATCGATCAAACTCTACACAGACCAGACAATAATAAAATATATTCGAATATTCATGTACGTATATGATGAGCAACTGCATATAATATACAATAAATAGACACATTGAATTCTACGGTGTATACGATTAAAAAATAAATAAAATTTTAAATCAATTTAAAACCCATTATCACAAGAAGAGAAGTGGGTGTATTGGTAATTAAAAATATTCATGAATAATTTATATAGTCTAGTATCTTTAGCATTCACATCAATAGTAATTTCTGAAAATAGTGGAGCAAGAAGAACAAGTTCTTTAAATAAAAAAAATTTGGGAGATTCTGGATTACCTACCAGACCATGGGATAATTTTTAAAAGTTTACTGATGATATGGGTAAATTTGGCCGGATAGTATAACAGTAGAGGTAAATTTGGCCGGATAGTATAACAGAAATTAAATGTAGACAATATCTTAAAGTAGAGGGATATATTTGGCCATTTTCCCTAAATAATATATATTGATTATATATAAAATATAACATATAATTTTTATTTATTATTTTAGAAGGCGGCTATACATCGTAGATTATTTAAAGAAAAACCTCACTCAACTACTTTTCATGGCAAAATTTACCACATTATGGCAACGAGGACAAAATTTAAAAAGTAGTCTCAAAGAAATGGTGCAAATAATTCCATATTATCTGTTTTGGTCCAACAGATCTAGCGGGTTTATCCCTTAAATTACAAGTAAAATTATATTGTATGTAGGTCAACTATTATTTTGTACACATATATATTCAATCTTGAACACTCTTGAACGCTCGTCAACACCCTTAGCAAAATTTTCGATTTCTCCCCAACCCATTTGCGATATTATCTGCTTGATATGTAGGTGGAAACCTTTTTTTTTTCCTTGCAGGGCGTATCACCTATTTATTCTATGATTTTTATTCTTTTTTGAACTATTTATTTAATTTCTGGATAAGGCATATTAGCTATATAAATAATTGGTTATTGTGTTCTACTAGATGCCATTTTATGTGGTCAAGAAGATGACATTTTAACCAACAAGGAGTGTGGTAAAGTGGTAAATATTCCTTCATCCTTAACCACAGATCTCGGGTTCGTTGTGAGTAGAATTGCAGAACCAAAAGATGGACATAAATGGAAAGGAAGTTAAAGCACAAATATGGGATACAGCAGGTCAAGAAAGGTTTAGAGCAATTACTTGTGCATGTTATAGACGCCAGAGTTTTAATAACATTGATCAATGGCTTAATCAGGGGCGGAACTAGCATGCTGGATACGGGTTCGATCGAATCGAGTAGCTTTGGTCTAAACTACATATTTGTCTTTAAAATCCCTTAAATAAGTACAAATTATTAATTTAAAACCCAATAGCTTAAACGAACTATAATTCCAAACCCATAAACTTCAAATTCTAGCACCTTCTCTAGGCTTAATGAACTTCAGAGTAAGCAATATGATACTTAATTATCTTCTCATTTAGTTTATAAATTGTTTAACTTAGCATGTTTAATGACTAAATTAATTACTTGATGAAGTGTTGTTAAATGATTTTTGTTGCATTATAGTTTAATGGAAGGAGACATATTTAAACATATTTAGAGAATATACAATGTTGTTAATTCTTTAAGCTACTTTCACGAATTTGTCTATTCATCAACCATGCTATAGGCTTGGCGCAAAGATAAGAGTCGTCGTCGTGTGATCATGAGGTCACGAGTTCATTCCGTGAAAATAATTTTTTTTAACAAAATGTTAGGAAAGAGTATAAACGATTAAGCCTAATGTAGTCCGACCTAGCCATCCCCAGAACTTATGCATAGCAGGACAAACGTGTATTCAGGATTTAAACTTGTTAAACTTGATAAGCATATCCCATAAAGATCTTCGAACTGATCATATTCTACATATGAGTTTAAAGTTTAATACTTGTTCAAAATTTATTGATAGTTTTACATATGTATTTATGCTTCATGTTGAAAATACCAGGTTAAGTTGAACCTATTGATTAGGGGTGTACAAATCGAACAGAAAAACCGCACCAAAACAAAAAGTGATCAAACCAAACCGATTAAAAAACTCGACTTGGTTTGGTTTGATTTGGTTTGGTATTGAGTAAAAAAAACCGAACCAACCCGACATATAAATATATAATTTTTATATATACTTTTAAGATTTTATATAGAATCTTCTTTAAAAAAATGTCTAGAAATATTTGGGATTCTCTTGCGTGATATAAATTTTAATAGAATATGAAGTGGTCCATATTTATTGACCTTAAATAATGGGTTGTATGATCACTTTCTTATCAAGTGTTACTGAAATGCGTTCATCTCTTTGTTCTTCCATATTCATATCATATGTTAAGATCTTATTAAATTCTTGTATCTTTTCCGAATGTGAAGTGATTATTAATATATTTATGTATCATATTGATTTTTATGTTTAATTACTACATTCGGTTAACCTGAAAGTGTACATCAACGAAAAATTATTATCAGACGACTAAAAAAATAACTATTATGTGTTACTAATAGAATTTTCCCATAAGAATATTTTAATCGATAATATGTTTGTCAATTTTTATATTTTTACTAAATATATATTTACTTATCAAATATTTAACAAAGTAAGATTGAAATAATATTTAACTAACAAAAAAACTGAAAACCCGACAAAACCCGACAAAATCGAACCAATCCAAATCAATATAGTTGGTTTGGTTTGGTTTTGATAAAAATCAAACCAACCCGGTTCATGTACACCCCTACTATTGATAATAGATTACATCCGCGTCTAAGAAGAGCTTAGTGCACCGAGCTACAATTTGTTTTTAATCAACAATGCTATTGAAGTTTTATGTTTAATTCTTTCTTGCTATTATGCTTGTGAATTTAGTGGCCAAGGATTTAATTATTTTGTCAATTTATTGGTGCAGCTCATTGTGACATGAATGTGGTTACAATTGTTGGCAATAAATCTGATCTCAAAAATTGCCAGAGAGGTTACAACAGAAGAAGGCAAAGCCTTGGCCAAGGCACATGGTTTATTTTTCATAGAAACATCAGCTTTGGACTCATCAAATGTAGCTGCTTCTTTTCAAACAGTTGTTAGGGAAATTTACAATATTTTGAGTAGAAAGGTTATTATTCAATCTCAGGATCTTAAACAAAATGATTCTAATTGGTTGCTGGCAAACGAGAAAACTGTGGTTTTGCATGCTGATAAAAATCAAGAAACAGATGGATTATTAGCAAAGAAAGGTGGCTGCTGTTTATTATAAGTCGATAGTTGTGTACTAAGCTCCCGCTATGCGCGGGGTCCGGGGAAGGGTCGGATCACAAGGGTCTATAGTACACACTCTTACCCTTCATTTATGTAAGATGCTATTTCCATGATTCGAACACGTCACATGGCAGTAACTTTACCAGTTATGCCAAGGCTCCCCTTCTATAAGTCAATAGCTGTATTTTGTGTGTTTTGAGGAGCATATTTCTCCTCTCATTTAGTATATTGCTCGAATCCTTTAAAAATGCCTCTGGGTGTGTATCGGATACTCAGATTCCTTCAATTTTGGTGGATCTGACATAGGTTTGATAGTAATTTTTGGAGGATCCGAGCTTACATAGTTGTAATTTATTTTCTGAAAAGACAGTAAATTTCCTTTTGTGCCATATGCTAACTTTCTTTTGGAATGTAAATTATCTCGAGGGGAAAAAAAAATCTATTTTCATAGTTTTTTACTTCAGTTTTTACAATGCCATTCTATTTAGCTTCTTGCATCCAAGAGTGTGGCATAGCGATAAATAAAATTGGAGTTGACTATGAGAGATCAGAATTCAATTTCAGTTTATCAAGAAACTGAAAATGTTCATTGAATTTGCAAATGACAGAGCCAGAAAAGGACAGATGACAACTGAACAACAGCCAGCAAATTTGCTGGACACTTTAGTATATAACGTAAAAAGAAGAAAAGAATCCCAACAAGAAAATGAACATTTTGCATCAAGTCTCATTGTTTCACCCGATATTCAACATACAATTATCTTAAGCTATGTTACGCGGACTCTCCAAAATACTGCCGCACCCGTATCGAATTCTTCAAAAATACACTGCTTTTGAAGAATCTGACAGGCGTCCGGCGACATTATCGGAGAGTCCTAGCAACATAGATCTTAAGTATATTCCGCTATCCAACTTTACGTCTCAATCAAATGCCAACGTAGAAAAGAAGCAAGAAAATGAAGGCCTATATTAAAGTAACTCTATGTTCAAACCATATAAGAAAGTCCCTTCCATTGTAAGCAGTCGTTGAGATAAGTTCTAGAGTAGGTATTGAATTAGCTCTAAGTGAATGTACCTTTAGCCTGAAGTAAGGAATATGAGTAATTAACAATCTATACTTTGGCCATGCTGTATTTTCCACCTATATTAAACAATCGATATCCAAACTTCCATACATTAATCTTCCTAGGCAGCAATACCTGATGAAAAAACAAGAGTATGTAAGTAACATAAGAAGAATGTAAACGAAGCAAATTTATAATAAGTGCAGGACATGGAACATCATGGTCTGTGCTCTTGGCTCACGTTTAGTTTCTAGTATCTCGTACAACAAGCCGAATATGCAACAATAACATTTGGTTTCCAGCTAATGCTTAAATTCTACCCCTCCTTATTCATTTTGTGTTTCCCTTTGAAATTGTAAAACAATCATGGCATACCGGTTTAATGAGTTCTAGTGCAATAAAATATCAAAAACTATTTAATAGAAAGACCAAAAAATAGAATAGGAAAATTACTTTTACCTCTAGTTGATGCATTTTCAAAACTATAACCACCAACATAGTCGAGGGAGTCTGCACTCCTGAGTCCATAAGTAAGAGCTTCGGAGCTGTCTAGCTCTGGAGATGATGCGCGCCAAGTAGAGTCCTCATAAATCGAACCACTTACTGGCCCATAAATATCACCAAAAGCCTTGGCATGAACACCTTGTATTGGAGCATATGATGATTTAGCATCAGCATTGCTTCTTGCATTTTGTCCATACCCTGCCCCACCGTCAAATCTGGTTTCTCCATTGCTAAAAGTGATGTTATCACCGCCAAAAGAACCTCTATGTCCACCTTGGCCTGAAATTGGAGAGGAACCCCATATTGTACCACGACCTCCAAAAGCACCAGATAATCCTGTATTCCCGCTTCCAAAACCAACAAATTCAGTAGTATTTGCATAGTCCGTACCATAATAAAGACTCTCATTCTCCCACATGTTCTGACCTGTTGAATTCAACACAGAACCATTTCCAGCTCTTCCAGGTGCATACCCCGCAGGAACATTGTGTCTGTTTGAATTCTCGTCATGAAAGGAACTTAAGTTACGTCCATAACCAAGAATAGAATTGAAATTTCCACTTCCTCCAAAGCTTGAGCTCAATCTGGAGTGATCTATTCTTTCTCCCATATTATAGTCAGCTGGAGTCAACGAAGAGTATCCATTGCGACCAACAGGAGTTGGACTATATCGACCTTCCATTCCGACTCCATAGCTTCCCATCGAGCTCGGACTGTAACCTTGAGGATATGCATTTAGGAAATTGTTTACCCTGTTCACACCATTGTTATATCTACCTAATTGGCTTTGGATTGGCCCGGGCGATAACTCTTTTGGAACAGCATGCTTGACCTCAACCATTTTACCATTAAGTTCATGAAATTTTTTGTATAGTACTTTATCAACTGCCTCCTCTGATTCATAGGTGATGAATCCAAAACCTCTAGGCCTTTGTGTGTTCTGATCATACATCACCACAACATCTGTGATCGTCCCGAATTGGTCAAAGTACTTCTTGAAGTCAGTCTCGGTGACTGAGGATGCTAACCCTCCGACAAAAATCTTTTTGGTGCGAACAGGACCAGGAGAACCCTGTATGCTTCCGTTGGTTCTATTAACATGTTGATCGTCCCTAGGAACGGCTTTTTTTGCCTCTACCTGTTTATAAAAGGAAATAATCAACAAAGTATACATTTATTTCTGCTAAGACTTCATGCAATATCTGAATTGACTTAAAAGGACACACATTGTTCTGCCAGGCATACAATAACTATATTATATGGTTTTCCTTACCTCGCTATAGACATACAGTTTTCTGGTTATGGGGTTACAAAGTCTTGGCCGTTCAAAGAGAATAAGATGATAAATAGCCTAAATCCTCAGAGCTACATCTACCTAATTAACGCATGGTTTAAATCCACATTTCCAAGTAATAACTACTACACCCTTTCATATCACGCAACATATTAGCGATATATCCCTCAATATTTTATAGATCATTTCAAATTAGTTGACCAATGGTGCTATAACTCGGCTCTTGCATTACATCCGTATCATGCAGCCCCTAACAGATTCACTTATGTAAAACTAACACTCATCAGGCTGAATCAATTTCTTCGTTGAAATGATGCAATGTCAATATTTTACATATGTCCAACTCATGAAAACTGTGTAAATCTCATTAAAGTGCATTTCCAATGAATATAATTGTAATCATAAGCAACAACTCTTCTAAAAAACAACAATTAGCACTCTTACTGATAAGTATATCACAGGAAGAATTCGAAATACTACATAAATGCTTGGATTTGCTTAAAAAATTGACATAAAATTTCAATAAAAATACCAAAAGGAACACTGTATAGGATGTAGTTCAGAAATTTTTAAGGTTACTTACAGTTCTACCATCAATCATGTGTTTTTCCTTAACAACTTTTTCAGCAATCGAAGGGTCTGCAAAGACAACAAAGCCAAAACCACGGGCACGGCCTGTGGTTCGATCTTTCATGATCACAGCTTCAACTACATCACCAAAAGCTTGAAAATATTCTCTGAGCCTATCCTCATTTGTGTCCCAAGAAATCCCTCCAACAAATAATTTGCCACTCTGCATTTCTTCTCTGCAGATAACAATAACATTACCAATCATCCGTCCAAAAATGAAACTCTAACTATACTTCAAAGTTTTTTAAGTCATATGCATTGACAGTGTAAAGATTTTTTAATACTATTAGTAAGTTTTGACCTGTGATAGCAGATTAGTTACTATTTTTACCCGATTACCAATTAATGCTCATGAAGGATTTACCCTTAATTTCTAACAAGTGACCTAATTTTGTAAATATCAAATCGTCAGTATGTAAAATTAAATTCTAAATTCAAATCATTCACTTGACCAAGTAAAAGGCTTAACAAAGGATTTAAAATTAGAAAGTTAGATTCTTGAAATAGCTTGCATAAACTTCAACTTGAGCTTTTCTAATAAACTTCTCGACCAAGAATTCATTGCATCATCAATGAAACTATTCAATATGAAATATCAAAATGCAGATTAAGTAAAAAGAATAGCATCTCAAACAAAAGAAACTACCAAAAAATTGGAAATTCAAATAAACAATCAAGGAATGTATAATCTGCAGTTCAAGTGTTCAACTAGAGATCATCTAATTTTCAACAGATCAAAATTCAACAAACCCACAAACCAGAATTCTTGAAAAAGTCATACAGATTGAAACTGACTTGAAACATCCAAAAAAAACATACCCACAAACCAGAATTCTTGAAAAAACTCATAAAGATTGAAACTTTGACTTGAAACATCCAAAAGAATATACCCCACAAAGTAAAAAAAAGCCATAAAGATTGAAACTTTGACATGAAACACACAAAAATATTTCAATATGTAAAACTTAAAGAGGTTGAATACTTGAATTTACCAAAAGATGAAGGCCAAATTGTTGGAGTTCCTGTGAATGGAGAGAGATGAAGGTAAGAGAAAAAAAGAGAGTGTGGTTATGAAGAAAACTGNGAGTATTATATTGTGAATGACAGAGCTTCTTTAGCTATCCTCTTGTGTGAGAAATGTAGAAGCTAGTAAGAGGGTGGAAGATGGTGACCTCTTATTTATTTTATAGTTTTTCAACAAACAATTAGTATAGTTTTGGAGGAAATGATTTCCTAAGGTGAATGTGCATTACAATTTAAATGGAAGAAAATAACTTTTACAATGATTTTTGTATTTTATAATATAGACCAATTCAATAAATACGTGATATATGTAGTTAATATACTTTTATAACTAAATTACAATTAGTTAATATATATTTTTACCTTAATTTATTACTTAATAATAGTAAACTAGTATGATTTCATGTAAATATCGGATGTAAATAAGTTTTTGATAATATTTTATATTATTAGTATTTTCTATGAATCTTCTGTGATAAAAATCATATAATTAAAATAATCTTTAACATGTTATAAAATAAAGACAGTAAAGTAAAGACAAGTATAGAGAGAAACTGATATATTATTCAAACTTCAAACTTATGTAAATAATGAACTGAAAACTCCTCTATTTATAGAAGAAAGGAAGTTGTTGTGTAAGCTGCTACTGCAAGCTGCTTGTAAGCTGCTACTCTAAGCTGTTGTGTCAGATATAGATAATCTTCTACTAGGAGTAATATTTATCCATAACGGAGTACCGAAAGGATAAGCTTCTTCAGGAAGCTTATTTCCAATATAGTACTAAATAGATAAACATATTTACGGTGGGGTCTCATATGGATAAGCTTCTTCAGGAAGCTTATTTACAACGGAGTACTAAATGAACATCCATAATATAATATATTTATAACATCCCCTTGGATATTCATTAAAAGATAATGTGCCTCATTAAAACCTTACTAGAAAAAAACCCTGTGGAAAAAAATTCTAGTGAAGGAAAAAGAGTACACATATTTAGTAATACGCATTGCTAGCTGCCTCATTAAAAACCTTATAAGAAAAACCCTGTGGGAAAAAACCTTAGTAAGGAAAAAAGAGTACATCGCGTAGTTTACTCCCCCTGATGAAAATCTTATTTCAAATATTTAAGTCTCTGCATTCCAATCTTGTATGACATCTTCTCAAAAGTTGAAGTTGGTAAAGATTTAGTGAATAAATTTGCCGGATTGTCACTTGAACGGATTTGTTGCACATAAATATCACCATTTTTCTAAAGATCGTGTGTGTAGAATAATTTTGGTAAAATGTGCTTCGTTCTATCTCCTTTTATAAATCCCCCCTTCAATTGGGCTATGCATGCAGCATTGTCTTCGTATAAAATTATGGGTCTTTTCTCACATTCCAAAACATATTTTTTTCGAATAAAATGAATTATTGATCTCAACCATACGCATTCCCTACTTTCCTCATGAATAGCTATTATTTCAGCATGATTTGAAGAAGTAGCAACAATAGATTGTTTTGTGGAGTGCCATGATATGATAGTACCTCCACATGTAAAAACGTACCCAATTTGAGATCTAACTTTATGGGGATCAGATAAATAACCTGCATCTGCATAACCAACAAGATCTGCACTATCTTTGTTAGCATAAAACAAATCCATATCAAGAGTTCCCTTTAAATATCGTAATATATGCTTAATCCCGTTCCAATGTCTCCGTGTAGGAGAAGAACTATATCTTGCCAGTAAATTAACAGAAAATGCTATGTCAGGCCTTGTAGCATTAGCAAGATACATTAGTGCACCAATTGCACTGAGATAGGTATTTCGGGACCAAGGAGTTTCTCATCCTCTTCTGGAGGTCGGAACAAATCTTTATTCACTTCAAGTGATCGAACAACCATTGGTGTACTTAATGGGTGTGCTTTGTCCATGTAAAAGCGTTTTAATACCCTTTCTGTTAGGCAGATTGATGGATAAAGATCCCGTCTGCTAAATGTTTAATTTGCAGACCAAAATAAAGTTTTATCTTTCCAAGATCTTTCATCTCAAATTCTTTCTTAAGATATTTAATTGCCTTTTGGAGCTCTTCTGGAGTTCCAACAAGATTTATGTCATTAACATAAACAGCAAGTATAACAAATTCTGAAGCCATTTTCTTTATAAAAATACATGGACAAATAACATCATTTATGTAACCCTCTTTCAGCAAATATTCACTGAGGCGATTATACCACATGCACCCAGATTGTTTTAAACCGTACAAAAATCTTGGTATTCTGATTGAGTACATTTTCCGAGATTTTGAATATGCGTCAGGCATTTTAAATCCTTCAGGGATTTTTATGTAAATTTTATTATCAAGTGACACGTACAGATAAGTTGTAACTACATCCATTAGATGTATTTCAAGCCTTTCACGTAAGGCTAAACTGATGAGATATCGAAATGTTATGGCATCCATAACTGGTGAATATGTTTCTTCATAATCGACCCCAGGTCATTGTGAGAATCCTTGTGCAACGAGGCGAGCCTTGTATCTTTCAACTTCATTTTTATCATTCCTTTTTCGCACAAAACCCCATTTATGACCAATTGGCTTTATACCAGCAGGTGTTTGGACTATTGGTCCAAAGACCTCTCTTTTAGCAAGTGACTTCAATTCCGATTGAATTGACTCTTGCTATTTTGGCCAATCAGATCTTTGTCGACATTCTTTGACAGATTGGGGTTCAAAATCCTCACTATCTTGCATAATGTTAAGTGCAACATTATAAGCAAAAATATTATCCACCACTATTTCAGATCGATTTAAATTAATCCCATCACCAATAGAACTTATTAAAAGTTCCTCGCTCACTTGAGTCTCGGGTTCATTGATTTCTTCAAGAATCTCAGAACTAATCAGATCTTGGGTCTCTTCAGGAGATCTCTTCATAATATCATTTTGATCATTTGTCGATTTTTTTTTCCGAGGATTTCGATCCTTAGAACCCAAAGGCCTACTACGCTTCAGGCGTGCTTTAGGTTCACTAGCTCTCATGCTAGTATATGGTCCTGCTGGGACATCAATTCGGATAGGAACATTCTCTGCAGGGATATGTCACTTAGTTATCCTTTTCAAATCAGCAAATGCGTTTGGCATTTAATTTGCTATATTTTATAAATGGATGATCTTCTGGACCTCCTGATTACATATAAGGGTATGTGGATCAAAGTGAGATAATGATGAAACTTTTCACACAATTTCTCTTTTGATTTCCTTTTTCTCTCCCCCTAATTGTGGGAAATTTATTTCATCAAATCGATAATCTGCAAATCGAGCAGTAAATAAATCTCCCGTCAATAGTTCAAGATAGCGAATAATAGAGAGTGAGTCAAACCCAATATATATTCCTAACCTTCATTGGGGGCCCATCTTACTGCGCTGCGGTGGTGCTACTGGCACATATACATCACATCCAAAAATTTATAGATGGGTAATATTTGGTTCATGACTAAAAACTAATTATGACGGAGAATATTTATTATAATGTGTTGGTCTGAGACGGATAAGTGATGATGCGTGCAAGATAGCATGACCCCAAACAGTAGTGGGCAATTTTGTTTTCATAAGTAGTGGTATTGCTATCAATTGCAGTCGTTTAATAAATGACTCTGCAAGGCCAGTTTGAGTATGAACATAAGCTACAGGATGTTCAACTTTTATCCCAATTGATAGATAGTAATCATCAAAAGCTTGAGATGAGAATTCTCCAACATTATCAAGGCGAATAGCCTTTATAGGATAATCTGGGAATTGTGCCCTTAATCGAATTATTTGGGCTAATAACTTTGCAAACGCCAGGTTGCGAGATGATAGTAGGCACACATGAGACCATCTTGAAGATGCATCTATTAGGACCATAAAATATCTAAATAACCCACTTGGTGGGTGAATAGGTCCACATATATCCCCATGTATACGCTCTAAAAAGGCAGGGGATTCAATACCAACCTTCATTGGTGATGGTCTAGTGATCATTTTTCCTTGATAACAAGCATCACAAGAAAATTCGTCATTTGTAAGAATCTTCAAGTTCTTTAATGGATGCCCACTCGAATTTTCAGTAATTCGTCTCATCATTATTGATCCAGGATGGCCCAAACGGCCATGCCAAAGCACAAAAGTATTTGAATCAGTAAACTTCTGGTTTACGATAGAGTGTGCTTCAACTGTACTAATCTTTGAATAGTATAAGCCAGAAGATAAAGTTGGTAACTTTTCTACAATGCATTTCTGGCCAGAAATATTCTTTGTAATACAAAGATATTCCCTGTTCATTTCATCTATTGTCTCAACATGATACCCATTTCGGCGGATATCTATAAAACTCAACAAGTTTCTTCGGGACTTGGAGGAGAACAATGCATTGTCGATAATAAGTTTTGTTCCCTTAGACAGAAATACAGTAGCTCTTCCGGAGCCTTCAATCAAACTTATATTACCAGAAATTGTTGAAACATTTGCTTTTTTCTTATGCAAATAAGAAAAGTATTTCTAATCTTTGAATATAGCATGAGTTGTTCCACTATCAATTATACAAATATCTTCGTGATTGGTCTTTGATCCAAACATAATTTGAGGATTATCCATATTCTTCAAAATAACATAAACAAAATAAATATGATAGTAAACATCATTTTCAAAGCATAACTTTTATTTATGTACAGCAATTACATAACCATACTATCTACTACAAATAACAAAAATTAAAATATTTACATTTCTACAAATTTACTACCGATTACATGACTTGTTTCTCCTTCCGGGAGTGCAAAATAATCAGCTACATCCAAATGCATGAAGTCTAAATTATCTTCAGAAATAAAATTTGCTTCAGCATTTTTCTCTGTCTTCTTCAGGGAGGCTTGATACAGCTCAACCAGGTGCTTTGGCGTACGACATGTACGTGACCAGTACCATTTTCCTCCACATCTATAACATGCATTTTCTGGCTTTGCTGCTTGCACCGCTTCATGCTTTTGTTCTTTTCTTTTCCACTACTGGTGGTGAGGAGGGTTCTTTGGTGTATT